ATTTAGTTAATAAAAATTGTTCCACTTTTGTTCTATCCTTTTCTTTTTCTTTTGAGCTGCTCTGTCTCTTTTTCTATCTCCCATTTCTCAATCCATCAAAATTCTAAATACATAGCATTTAACATTAAGAATTATATCCATTGAATTATACATATTAATCACTTGATGAAAAATTAAATATAACTAGAAAAAAATACAATAAAAAATGATAGTATATTAATCTAAGATCCGTTGTACATTAATTAGTCGGTGGTTGCATTCTAACACACTAAATTGAGATTTATTTTTTGAAATTACAATATATTATCTCTTCTAAAGCATACGGGGTAACATGGTCCCACGACTCACCTTATCCCATAGAAAAAAACTCTCGATAGCAATGGTCTCACGACTCATCTCAAATTGCACATTCCTATTCATCTTATTTCTTTAATTGTGGATTCAATCAATGTTATTAAAATCAATTTTAATATAAAATTATTTTTAATATTAATACATTAAAAAAATTAAATAAAAAAATCAAATTTTATTTTATTTTTATTTGGAACGCAGCACCAACTAGTTATTAAAATCTAGATTAGCTAGAAAGGATGTGATTAAATTAATTATTTCGTTAAATGTGGTCATTACATTTTTATACACCACTTTGATTATTCTTCACTTTCTTCACTCTTTCTATGATTTAAAAGTTATTTATTCAAAAAAAATTAATTGTGGAATGGTATGGTAGTTGGATCTATTTGTTTTTTTTTTTGTGGTTAAACTGATTATTTCGATAAATATTTGGGGGAAAATAAAATTAATTATTGCTAGAGAGGCACTGGAGCCTGTGATATTTTGCTAGCACTGGAGCCTGTGATATTTTGCTAAGGCATGGAATTCGATGCCAAGGGAATGTAAGATAGTCGTTGACTGCTGGCGTCAACGTGATAAAGCAATTAATTATAGTGAAAATAAAATAGTTAGCAACAACAACCCAATTCAAATTTGATTTGAAAATGCAAACCAAAGCTTGGCTTAGCGGTAGAAGGGGTTTGTCTCCTTCCACTGCATCTGGGTTCGAGCCTTAGCGTGCACGTCTGTCACCCCCGCGGTGTCTTACATGCCTACTGGGTTTGCAGGGTATTCAGTGGGTCGTGGGGATTAATCGTGGGGCGCGCAAGCTGACTCGGACACCCCATGTAAATAAAAAAAAAAAAAGTTTGATTTGAAAATTATCAGAAACTTTATTATTTTTTGCAATGTATGAATAATGAAAATTCAGAAACTCTCCTTGCTGCAGGAAATAGCCCTCGTTGTTGAATTTGAATCCACTGTAAAAAATCACCCTGAATCCATTAAAATAATTCTGAATTTTCACTATAATGAGACTTATAGTGAAAATCATGCAGCAATAAAATATACCCACAGAACAGGAGGCTAGCCGAGTCAAAAGAAGGTTTGCCTCGTCTAAATGATATTTGTAGGTGGATAATGATTATATTTTAAAATATTTTTATTTTAAAATATATTAAAATGAAAAAAAAATTTAATTTAAAAAATTATTTTGACATAACACATTAAAAAATAAAAAAAAATATTATTCACTATTGTTCTTTCCTTTTCTTCTTTTAAACTGTCTTGTCTCTTTTTCTATTTTGTCTACCATCTCTTAGGCTTTCAAGATTCAAAATACAAAGCAATTAACGATAGGAATATTGATGAAAAATTAAATATAACAAGAAAACAAATACAAAAATAAAAATTATTATTTAAAGTAGTTTTTACATAAAAATATATTAAAATAATATACTTTTTTATTTTTTTAAAATATTTTTTTTATATAAATTAAAAATATAAAAAATTAATTTTAAATAAAAAATAAAATTTTATCTAATTTTTATTTGGAACACAATATCAACGAAAAAAAATGTATCAAGAAACAAAGATATTCAAAGAATAACAAAAAATAAATCAAACCAAAGCCATGGAATTAAAACCAAAAGATGGACCAAATTTGTCTCTACATTGAACCATGATGAAGAGATAATTATTTATTTATCAAAACAATTATTTATTCTGAGAAAAACTCAAACTCAATTTCATTGGATCAAAGTCACAACATCAAAGTAAACAAGAAAAAAAGTATTTAATTGATATAATAATAAAAAAAAGTTGGTATACTAATATAAAAAAATAAAAATGTACTAAAATAAGTGGACTCAAATAGAACGGAGGCTCTTTATAAGTAACTTCTTGAGAGCTAGAGTGCTGGTATCTCCCACATATCTTTGCCCAAGTAAAAATGTCTCAGCCAAAAAAAAAAAACTAAAAGAAGTGCTGGCTGGTTCAAGAAATTTCAGTACGATGAAGTGAGAGACTCACCAAGGAATTATATCCATTGAATTATATATATTAATCACTTGATGAAAAATTATATATATCCATTTCTCAATCCATCAAAATTCTAAATACATAGCATTTAACGTTAAGAATTATATACATTGAATTATATATATTAATCACTTGATGAAAAATTAAATATGACTAGAAAAAAAATACAATAAAAAATGATAGTATATTAATCTAAGATCCATTGTCCATTAATTAGTCGGTGGTTGCAATCTAACACACTGAATTGAGATTTATTTTTTGAAATTACAGCATATTATCTCCTCTAAAGCATACGGGGTAATATGGTCTCACGACTCACCTTATCTCGTAGAAAAAAACTCTTGATAGCAATGGTCTCATGACTCATATGAAATTGCACATTCCTATTCATCTTACTTCTGTAATTGTGGATTCAATCAATGTTATTAAAATCAATTTTCAATATAAAATTATTTTTAATATTAATACATTAAAATCATTTTCTTCACTCTTTTTATGATTTAAAAGTTATTTATTCAAAAAACATTAATTGTGGAATGGTATGGGTGTTGGATCTATTTTTTTTTTTTTGTGGTTAAACTAATTATTTCGATAAATATTTAACTATATGTATGAATTTTTTTACTTTTATTTATTTATTTTTCTTGGGATTTACATTCTCCCCTCATAATAGAAATTTTGTCCTCGAAATTGGAGTGATGTACTTGAATTTATAAACAAGTCGGGGAATTTTTGTCTCATTTCTGATTTTCTCTCCCATGTTTCTTCCTCGATTTGTGAGCCTCATCATAAAACTCTAATAATGGGAACTTTCTTATTATGAAGTTTTTTCTCACCCCAATCGAGTATCTTTATTGGTCTTATTTCAAGTGTTAAGTTTTTTTTTACCTCCACTGGCACTTGAGGTAACATTCTTGAAGGATCTACATTGGCTTTTCACAGCAAAAAAACATAGAATACATTGTGAACCTTGGCCAAATGTGAGTTTATTTCATATGCTCACTTTTTCAATACTGATTTATCCTACACTTTCTACCGAGCTTCAAATGGGGCCATTCCAATTGTTGTCTAATAACTATTTTTATACGTGAATTCTACTATTGACAGGTGCTCTTCCACCAAATTCCAAAGCACATGCTTTTAGAAAATCTTTTAAGATCTGGATAACTCTCTTAGATTGGTTGTCAATCTGCGGATGAAAGGTGGTACTAATACTTAAATTTGTCTCAAGGCATGTTGTATGCTCGACCACATACATGAAGTAAATCTTGGGTCTGGGTCTGAAACAATTGATATTGGGACTCCATAAAACTTTACAACTTCATTCATATAAATCTTAGCCAACTTGTTAATTGGATCTATCATTTTTATTGATAGGAAAAGAGTAAACTTAGTTAATCGATCCATAATGACCCAGATTGTACCCTTTCTCCTTTTCCAGGTATCATTTATGAAAAGTAACTTCTAACTTCATGTCATAATTTAAAGTAACTTTCGATTATTAACGGTGAAATAACAAACTTTCAATTTATATCTAAATTTTGATTGTATAAGGTTCGGTTTTGTAAATTAATTTAAGTTGTTTTTTTTTTATTTTTTACTCAAGAAAAAATTATATCATAAGTTAAAATTTTTTTTTTATTAAAGTAAAGCTTTGACTCAATTTTATAACAAATCTTGATTTAAGTCAAAATTTAAATTATATTTGTTACGAGTTTTGACTAGAATTAACTTTTGATTTAAATCAAAACTTATGACAAAATCAAGTAAAAAATTTGGGATTGAGAATGGAGTTATAGAAGTTTTTAGGGTTTAATAATGAATTACATTTTCATAAATAACATAGCAAAATTAAATATTTTAGAAGAAGATTCGAAGATTGAGCTTTCGAAGATCGAGCTTTAATTGAGCACAATAACAAGCTCATCATGTGGTTGTAGATGTCAACGGAACGGACAAGAAGACACCAAGCGATTAATAATTGAGCAGTTTAAAAAAAGGCACTGTGTGATTGCAGGAAAACATTGTAAATTTGGGGACCATTATTCTACTTTTAGGGACCTCCAAAACAATAAATCATCATAACTAAGAAAAATAAACTTCATAAAATGCAAAAATTTCCCTTTATTTTCCTACTCAATTTTCTCAGGATTCAAACACAAATATTGTTCCTACTCAGTTGACAAAATTAATTAGGACTGATCTTGTTTGCTGAGTTTGTTTTTATTTTGTCATTTGTAGCACAAATTTATTAATGGGATTGCCGTCATTTATTTTTTTAAACTTTTATTCTATGTTGTGATAATCAAATGTTTTTTTTTAAATCATAAATCAAATTAAAAAAATTAGACTGTTTAATTAGTATTTTAAGTTAGAATAAACAAATACATAAGAGACAAAAATATATTTGTTTAATTACAAATTTGTTGCTTTTGAAGTTCTTTTAATGTGAAAATAGTATTTAAAAAGAAAGTTTCAATTTTTACTTTTTGACTCTAATTGTTAAGAAAATCTGATAAAAACCATTTTTTATTAATTGGCGGAAAGGCCTCAATTTCACTCCTTTTAAATTCAGTGGATGGCTAAAGGATTTATCCATTACTTTAGTTTTAGAAATCTGAAGGAAGAAATAAGAAATAGAATATCAAAATGAGGAGAATGAGAATCCAAACATTAAACAATAGCACACAAATGAGTAAAAATTATGCCTTTCGTTTTTGAAGGCTCGGACACTTGAAAAGAAACACAAATGGGAAAACATACACATTGGTAGCTAATGAAACAGCTGGAATTACTTCCCACCAATGTCGCGTTGATCATCACATAGGTAACCAACCAACCTAATGCAAACATCAAGAACAAAGATCATCGAGGCATCTCGTATTTGTTGATTTAAAGAAGGATATAAAATAAATAGTTTCAGCCATTTTACCTGGAAGAATGAATTAGTAGCATGTTTTTTAAATTCCAATGCCAAACTAATCATCCTCTTCCTCTTTTTCCCCTTCCCACCCATTATATGAGGTCCACGTTCTACAAGTGCTGGTTGGCACGGAGCAACCAGTGCTGGAACCCTCAGCTACTTGAGATACCTGCAAAGCCAATTCAAGCATGGCATACACATTCTGATTATTGAGGGAAACAAGAAATAAAAACACTTAAAGAGAGCCAAGAAATCATGTCACATATACAGCACCTCTGATTGAGCACTCATTGAACCATTTGATGTAGTATCAAATTTTGTGGTCAGCTTTGGACATTGATGCATCTTCAACATCTCCAGTCGAGGGAATAAGAATTGATAACATCCAAGACTGAAGTAGACAATCCTCGGTAATTGTTCTAGATACAGCTCCTGCAGTTCAGGGAGCACCATCCCCTCCTCAACATTGACAGGTGAAGCATGATCATCCTGCCCAAATACTCCCAGTAGTTGAGAGGATTGGCTTACTCTAAGTATTTGGAGCTTCGGGAGACCTGAAGCCATGGCTATTGGGAAGAGACTCGTTAACTTGTTGCATACATTGATCTCAATTCGACACAAATTGGGGAAGCATAAAGATTGGAGATCACTTCCTGACAATATTTGATCATTTCCATCATCAATATCCTTAGCTATGATTTGCTCCAATTCATCACAAGTTGATATCTCTAGAACTTCTAGTTGAACCAGACTAGCAATCATGTTGCCTGTAAATACATGCGTCAGTCTCTCGCATTTCCTCACCACCAAAGTAGTCAAATGCCTCAGCACGAGACCCTTCCATATACAACTCATGTCAGGCACAGGCAGTGAGGACAACTGTAATGCTTCCAAACTAGTGAAGCCCTGCATAAAAACAATTAAATAAATACAGGTGCCATTTTGTTAGATATAATTCCTCGGAACGTTTGTGCACTTTGAAACTATTATATAATTTTGGTAAATAGGTGAAACAATTATCCCCGGTACTTCAGCAAAATACTTAATCAATAAAAAAGATATAAATAGATAGGGCAATGGGTCAGCGGATTATGAAATCATAATTTTTCATATTTATGATAATCTAAATATAAATTATTATTTTATATTAGTTAAATTAAAAGCAATCATGAAAAGATTACACTTATTAACTAAAAAATAGTTTTTTTTTAATATTTGATTTATAAAAAAACAAATTATGACATTAACCAAAAACAAATATATAAGAAAAAATAATTTTAATTTTACATAGTAGTAAGATTTCTTGTATATAAAGTAAAAATGCTTTATTATGGATCACTTTTTTTCTTGTATATAAATTCAGTGCATAATTAAGAGCTTATCAATTGCTTTAGTTTCAGAAATTTGGAGGAAGAAAGAAGAAATTATCAGTGTATTGAAGTAGACAATTTAAATTAGAAAAGAAAAAAAATCTTGGAGAAGTATAAAGGACGTACTTGGAGCTGTGCCAACAAATTACCCGATTCTTCGTGGCCATCAATGGTTAACTCTTGCAAAGAAGGCAACTGGGCAGCAAAATCCTTTGGACCAAAGAAGCTGCAATTTGAAAGAGACAATTTTCTTAGCCGAGGGAAGTTGATGGTGCCACCTCTGGTGACAGCATCTCCTTCTGCACTGTAAAATATTTGCTTTAAATTGCTAGTAACTAGAGTCATCTGTTCCAGCTTCAGAAGACTCGGAGACACAGAGACAGGGAAGACGTATTCCAGGTGACCACAGTATTCTATAAGGAGAGTTTTTAACTTCGGGAAGCTAAGAGACTCTGGAATTATTTCACTTTGATCATCATTTTCTCTGATAAGATGCTTCAATCCACGACAACTTCTTATCTTAAGTGTTTCTAGCTGTGGTAGACTTTGAGCGAGGGACGGTGTGAAGATAAATGTCAGTTTGTCGAGAGAATCCAAATTCAGATGAGCAAGACTTAGGTGGCTGACATGCCCGGTGAGCCCCTTCCATATGCATCTGAGCTCAGGTAAGCAGGACAGTTGTAGCTCTGTTAAAGATGACAACAACGACCGCTCCCTCTCCTCACTGCTTCCTTCATCAGCCTCGCCCAATTCAAAAACCTCTTCCAATGATTTACAGTCTTTAATTTCCACACCCCTTAGATTTTTCAAAGCTTGCCGCCATTTAGCTGGAAACAGAGTGCGAATATCCCCACATCCATTCACTTTGACATGTTCTAATCTTTGCAAGAAGTCCTTTCGAGACCCATGGCCATGGGTGGTCATCTGATCAGAGGACAATACTATATTTTCCAAACCCTCCACTCTATGAAAACTAATTTGAGACACAGTAGGAAACAATTGCTCAAATGTCTTCGCATTTAAGGATGTGGCGCTGATTTCACCCAAACATAATCTTGTCTTTGCAGTTGGGTATTCATTATCAAGTTCTGAATACCCATTCCCTAACACCCAAATATCATATTTGAGCAACCTGGGAAAAACAAAATCTCTGGGAATGCATTCAGCCTTCGGTATCCTCAATGATAATACAGCTAAATGAGACAACGAGTTTAGTTCTCTTAGGCTCGCATTCACTCCTCCCCTGCTTGTCCCAACGACATCCCATTCCTTAAAGCTGTAACACCCGATTAGCAGTTCTTCTAACCTCTTCAAGCTTCCAATCAAATTCACGGGAATCCTTCCTAGATTTCTACAACCTGTCACGTCCAACAACCTCAACTCCTTGAGCTCCCTCATTTCACCAGGTAATTCTTCAATGGAGTCGCACCCTATAAAACCAAGAATCTTAAGCCTTTGCAGCTTTCTCAACCAAATGAGCTCCTTGCATTTACACTCCATCAACAGCAACGATTGAAGGTTCGTCGAGAATTGAAGTGACTGCAATGACAAACACCCTCCCTTTAGGGACAAAACTTCAATTTCTTTCATCCCTTCAAAAAACCTCTCTGGAACATTCAAACCACGATCCAGTTCTAATAATACAACTCTGAGCTGTGGACATACCAATCCTTCAGGAAGTTCTGCTAGTTTATTGCCCATTAACGAAATTGCTGTGCAACCTTCAAAGCTTTTACTGCACATTGGCCACTCCTTCAACCCAAGGCCTGAATTTACATGAATCCATATTCTTTAGAGAGACACGGTAGGAAACAACTGCTCAAATATCTTTGCGTTTAAGGATGCGGCGCTTATACGACACAAAAATAATCTTGTCGAGATTGGGTATTCTGTTTTTGAAAACCCATTCCCTAACACTATATCATATTTGAGCAAGCTGGGAAAAACAAAATCTCTGGGAATGCATTCAACCTTCGGTATCTTCAATGATAATACAGCTAAATGAGACAGCGAGTTTAGTTCTGTTAGACTTGCATTCATTCCTTCTGTGCTGTCACATCCAACAACATCCCATCCCTTGAAGCTCCCATCCCCGATCAACAGTTCTTCTAACTTCTCCAACCTTGCAATCAAATTCACAGGAATCCTTCTTAGCAATTCACAACCTGTAACATCCAACAACCTTAACTCCTTGAGCTCCCCAATTTCATCAGGTAATTCTTCAATGGAGTCGCACCACATGAAAACAAGAATCTTAAGTCTTTGCAGCTTTCTCAACCAATTGAGGTCCTTGCATTCACACCTTCTCAACAGCAACGACTGAAGGTTCGTTGAGAGTTCAAGTGATTGCAACGACAAACACCCTCCATGTAGAGACAAAACTTCTATTGCTTTCATCCCTTCAAAAAACCTCTCTGGAACATTCAAATCATCATCCAGTTCTAATAAAAGAACTTTGAGCTGTGGACACACCAATTCTTCAGGAAGTTCTGCTAGTTCATTGCCCATTAACGAAACTACTGTACAACCTTCAAAGCTTTTATTGCTCATTGGCCACTCCTTCAACCCAAAGCCAGCCTTTACCATGAATCCGTATTTTTCTGATGATGCTATCTGAATAGCAACATCACGAACCAAGTCATGCATTTTCACATATTCTTCACTTCTAGTTCCTAACAGCATACAACAATCTTTGAGGGTTTTTATCTCCACATAAACTCGTTCCCTTGCATCTTCAATGGACTCCGCATCTTGATGTAACCCGTAGCCAACTGCATATCTCGTCAAGTCCTCAATTGGAATGTTGTAATCTTCTGGAAATAAACAGCATAGCAAGAAACATAATTTGGTTTTCTCGTGCTTCAAATAATCATAACTCAACTTAAGACATGCATATGCATTGTTTTCTTCGTCAATTTGTTCCATGTGCTGAAATTGAGAGTTTTTGAGCTCTTTAGACGCTACTTCCCACTCAACAGCAGATTTATCTCTTAAAGCCCTTCCCACTGTCACAAGTGCTATAGGCAATCCTTTACATTCTCTCGCAACCTTCTTTGCCACTGTGTTCAAGGTAGAGTCCTCATCATGTAAACCTGCATTGATTTTGAATAAAGCCCATGCTTCATTTTCAGATAAGAGACTTAACAATACTTTTTGCTGGCACTCCATATAAGAACATATATCCTTATGACGTGTTGTTAGAAGAATTTTACAACCCCCGTGAGCATCACCAAATGGGATCCCTATCTCTT